TGGTAGATACAACATCAGAAGGTGACCAGAAGCTGCCAGTCCAGAGATATCTTTCAGCGCACTATGCCAACATGTCTTCTTCCAGAAGTAACGGATCTCAGTTCTGATGATACGGCATATTGGAAGGGGCAGCAAAGCTTTTATGGCATGACTGTATTTCATCGTGATTTTTATTCTTGGATTGCTTGTAATAGTATTTATTGCCACAATAATATATTCCCCGTTGCCATGATAATACACATTTTGTCTGAGGTTTGCAGTCAGATGTAGTTGATTAGGTTCGGGGGAGGAGTCAGATCGCTGGAATAACTTCTCTTTGTTTTATCTCCTGTAGGTTTCCATCAATAACAAGAAAAGTGGACATCTCTTACAGCTTCCTAGAAAGTCAAGCTATCAGCCAGTGCTATGACAGCTCTCCGTGTGACCGCATGCCATGCCTGCACGGGGGAACATGTATGCCCACCGGGGAATACGAGTACCAGTGTCTGTGCCGCGATGGCTTCAAAGGTGAGAAGACAAAATTGCACAGAAGTTCTCTTCTACCGTGAATGAATCCTTCTGATGTCATAGAATGTGTCTGATTGGTTATAAGGTTTTCCTCCTGACAACCAATCAGCTTTTCCTTTTCCATGCTCATGTCTAGCATAGTGACAGAAGCTATATAAGATGACACGGGTCTTTAGTCAGACACCCCGTATGCATCTCCTCTATGGTGAACAATGCCTTCTGTAGTCCAGCAACACAAATAAAAGGTGTTACCAGACATTTCCTTGACATAGCTGGCTTCTACAGTGCAGACAAATTTTGCAACATAAATTATTGCCTAACTTTCCAGGACCATGATTGGTTTCTGGTAATGCTAAGCCCCACCCCCTTTCTTTAGCTGACTTTGGAGTGTAGCCAAACTTTGAGGCACAAAGAAGACCTTGCGTGACATTTCATGAACATAATGGAGTTCCATCACCACCAAGTCTTGTCCATTGTAGAGAGCCGCATGGCCACTTCACACATGGAGAGGAAGTATATGAACCAACAATTCATACATGACCCAACCCATCTGTATAGCAGCCAAATGAGCTATCAGCATAGTAGTATGTTTGGATTTACGAGAACTCCCTACAAAAGAAATCCCTCACAGACATTGGGAACCTTAAAAAAAATCCATGTAGAGCCTTGGTGGGTACAGAATCCAGACAAGTTGGGGAACCACAGCCAACTATGTTTCATCATCAGAACCAATCCTTGAGAGTCCTGGGGCTACTAAAGGCTTTTCAGGCAGTCTGAACCTCGACATGAGCTCAGGAGGCTTCCCTTGTTGGCTTTGTATTGGTCTTGGTGTCTCAGGCTGGAAGCTGACCAAAGTGTGACCACAAATCCTGATGTTTTTCATCTTTTAGGTGATCGCTGTGAATCTCATGAAGATCGCTGTCAGATACAAAATCCATGTATAAATGGGGGCGTGTGCAAGGACAACCGATGTCACTGCCCAGAGGGCTTTTCTGGAACATACTGCGAGGCAGGTGAGAACCGGGAACGATGTTCGTTGTAAGGGAAGCAGGACCCGTACATACTCAGATTTCACAGGCACTACAACTGCAATGCTTGCTACAGACCAGCTCTGTAGGGCTCTCCTTGATCAGAAGTGTTGTGCTTGCTCTCTCCTGCACGTTTGTCTCTGTAATCACCTTTCCCTCTTCAGCCATACGTAAGGTGCACATACTGATCTTTGTCAGATTAAGGGCTTGTTCACACTTTTGTGTCCAGGGGCGTGGTAAAAATAATGAAAAATGTAATACTTACCTTTCCATAATTTTCCTTTTCTGGTGCCTATCCATGGCAGGATACATATGGCGTGTGCTGCCATGGAGACACCAAGAAAGACAGTTGAGCCGTGGTCTTACCGCTCTCCTAGTCTGCCTTCCTAAACGCAACACAGCACAGAAAAAAATAAGTTCAACGGAATGGGGGTGTTTTGTAGCTACATGCAAGACACGGAGCTGTGGTGTGGTGGTGAGCGCAGATCGCGTTTTGAAGGGGCAGCAAATGTAAACACGCCCCGGGAGTTACGGAAACAGGCGGAGTTCTCATCTCTTGATGGGGCAAATCTTGAAGATTTGCCCCATGTATGACACTCTGGAATAGGTGTAGATTGTGGAGCCGTTGATAAAAAGGTCAGAATTAATACTTTCCCTGTTTTTCCATGACAGACATTGAATCCCATTTTTGAAGCTGCTCTGGATAATTTCTCCACCAACTTTCCATAATCCAATAATTCCTGAGCTACAGCTAGATTTCCCCGCTTCACAAGGACTCTCAACCAATCACTTAGCAGAGAATTTACTCCACCCAAAGTCTGGTGTAATCAAATGTCAGCCTTGGGAAGTCTGTCCTTTGGCGGACTTCCCAAGGCTGATTTCCCATCTCAGTCTTCTACATTTGGGTTCTCAAAATAGTCCTGTCAGACTTTAAAGATGTATTCTAGGCATGGTACATATGTACATGTAATCGTGGAAGTGGACACCTCTACTACGCCACTACTACAGTGATCTCCACTAGCTTTTGGCGTCCATACCAAATAGTCGACCTGATCCATTCTGAATACAGGAGGTTGGCCAATGGGCATGGTTGCCATTCAGAGAATACTTTTAGTTTTTTGAGTATGGACAAAATGAAGAGCAAGATGTCACAGCCCCACTTCTCCATGTCATCCAATCAGAGAATGATTTGCATTCATCCAGAAAATGGAAAGCGTTCTCTGAATTGCAACTGTGTCAAGTGGCCGACCTCCTGTATTCACAATGCATCAGGCTGGCCGCATAGCACAGGACCCGGATGCAAGTAAAGATCACTGTAGGAGCTGGGTCTACTTTGGTGACTTCCAACTTCAAGGGGCGTTGGCCAAGTATGGTATACTGTATACGTAGTTCCAAGCTGGACCAATGTAAATATTTCTAAAATACACTGTGCCTGGGATCCATCTTTAATGGTTGTCCCCTTACAAGCCCCTTCATGAAGTTCACGGTGTATTCATAGAACTCGCAGCAGACTCTTATTAAAGTGTCACTTGTATTTTGGAGTCTTTATCAAGATCTCTCCTTTAAGCCCAGGCCACATATGATGCAGTACATTATCCAGCACACAGGGGCTCATTGTGCATGTGAAGGGAGCCCACTATGGAGAGAAGTCTTGTATTGTCTTCTACCTCTTCTGAGGGGGGAGATTTTACACCCGTAGGTGGTAGTCTTGGCCATCTCATGGTGCCCACTATGAGGAGAAGTCATGTATTGTCTTCTACCTCTTCTGAGGGGGGAGATTTTACATTTGTAGGTGGCCTTGGTATTCAGGAAGTGGGTGGCGGTAGTCCTGGCCATCTCGCGTTGCCCAATATGAAGAGAAGTCTTGTACTGTCTTCTCCCTCTTCTGAGGGGGGAGATTTTACACCCGTAGGTGGTAGTCTTGGCCATCTCATGGTGCCCACTATGAGGAGAAGTCATGTATTGTCTTCTACCTCTTCTGAGGGGGGAGATTTTACATTTGTAGGTGGCTTTGGTATTCAGGGAGTGGGTGGCGGTAGTCCTGGCCATCTCATGGTGCCCAGTATGAAGAGAAGTCTTGTATTATCTTCTTCCTTTTCTGAGGGGGGAGATTTTACACTCGTAGGTGTCTGTGATCCTCAGGAAGTGGGGAGTGATAGTCCTGGCCATCTCATGGTGCCCAATACGAAGAGAATTCTTGCACTGTCTTCTCCCTCTTTTGAGGGGGGAGATTTTACCCCATAAGGTGGTAGTCCTGGCCATCTCATGGTGCCCAATACGAAGAGAATTCTTGCACTGTCTTCTCCCTCTTTTGAGGGGGGAGATTTTACCCCATAAGGTGGTAGTCCTGGCCATCTCATGGTGCCCAATACGAAGAGAATTCTTGCACTGTCTTCTCCCTCTTTTGAGGGGGGAGATTTTACCCCATAAGGTGGTAGTCCTGGCCATCTCATGGTGCCCAATATGAAGAGAGTCTTGCACTGTCTTCTCCCTCTTTTGAGGGGGGATATTTTACCCCATAGGTGTTAGTCCTGGCCATCTCATAGGGCCCAATATGAAGAGAAGTCTTGCACTGTCTTCTCTTTTTGAGGGGGGAGATTTTACCCCATAAGGTGGTAGTCCTGGCCATCTCATGGTGCCCAATATGAAGAGAAGTCTTGCACTGTCTTCTCCCTCTTTTGAGGGGGGATATTTTACCCCATAGGTGTTAGTCCTGGCCATCTCATGGTGCCCAATATGAAGAGAAGTCTTGCACTGTCTTCTCCTTCTTCTGAGGGTGGAGATTTTACCCCATAAGGTGTTAGTCCTGGCCATCTCATGGTGCCCAATATGAAGAGAAGTCTTGCACTGTCTTCTCCTTCTTCTGAGGGGGGAGATTTTACCCCATAAGCTGGTAGTCCTGGCCATCTCATGGTGCCCACACTGTGCTCTGTAGATTAGCAGCTTTGCCAAGTTTGTGTTGTTAATGAGCTTATTTGCACTTGTACAGGAGCAGCTTCTACAAACCTGGAAGATGGAGTTCACGAAGGGAGTGGGGGGAACGGTATTGTATCCCCAATTTATTTTATCTTCTTTATATCTTGAGATAGGGTGCTCTTTGTGGTCATTCTTTAATACAGGGGGATGGGTGGATAGAGATATAGGGGATGGTGTGTATTTTCAGTGAGTCCTTGTAATATTGACATTTTCCTTTAGCTATGATGAGGAAGTCAGGACTCACTGGTAGGGTGTTCCGATGTAACCTCACCCAATAATCAGACCGGTGCCTGCATACGATCCCCATTCATCAGACTCTCCCTCTGCTAACTTCTTTGCTGGACCAGTTGTGTTTCTTCCTTCCAACTTGGGGTGACGGTCCCTAGCCTTTAACCCTTTCTGCATGGAGTCTCCAATGATTGGGTCATCAAGGTCTCATGTCACTATTTCCACCAATCACACACTTTCCATATTTTTGTTTTTTTTATAGATGCACCGGGAGTATATGGGTCATACTTCTCTGATGACTCTTACATAGCTCTACCCAGGCAGATGTTCCCTCGCAGGTAAGAGGCCCCGTCTGGCTGCTTCTACAAAGCATGTTGACTTCACAGACTTCAGGACTTGTCCCATCATAGTGAGAGTTCAGAATCTTCCGCCTTCAGGAACGTCTTCCTGGGCTTTGGAAACATTTGACCTGAAGGGGATTTTCTGAGAACTTATGCTCAGAAAGATGCAATCACCCCATTTCTCCAGATCCAGGATGGTCTATGACACCACAAAACCATAAACGAGAGCGGCCGCACCAGGCTAGGTCTAGTCTGTCCTTTATGACATGTATTAATAATCTGCATAAAATATACTCACAAACCATGTAGAAATGGCAGCATATCAAGCTACTAATCCATAGGACAGGAGTTCATCAGACTCTGAGTTCTCCAGAGCTAAGAAGCACTCCAGCCTGGATCCTAGCTGGGTTACGCGTTCCCTGAGATTTGGCCCTGATGAAGAGCGTTTAGCCCTTGAAACACGTAAGTCAGCTAGGATCGCAGTTGGATAAGAACAAGTGCGCCAGATACCCCTCCTCTTGTAGGACCCTGGTTGGAGTTCTTCTAAGCTCTGGAGTATGCTCTGGGTACTCCTGTGCTATGGATTAGTAGCTTGGATCACCGTCATTTCTACATGGTTTGTGAGTATATTTCATGCAGATTATGAATACATGTCATACAGGATATTGCACTAGGATGGTGCGTCTTCTCTCGTTTGTGTTTTTGTAGTTGTTGTTTGGGACAACCTCAGTCCTAAGAGGGCATCCAGGTCTGAAGTATCTCTGTGCCGCATACACAAGCATTACATATGAAGATTCGCCACTAGCCCACCACACTTATGTGCAGGACCTGTCGTTTTGTTTGGATAGAGTCTATGACAGCAATGGGCAAACTACGGCCCGAGGGCCGTATACGGCCTGGCGGACCTTTTAATCTGGCCCGCGGATGTGGCTGTCAGGATGTGTGTAGGCGGGGCAGCGTGACGAACGTGAGGGGAGGGGAGCTAGGCTCCTCTCACAGTCCGCCCTGAAGACCGGAACGGCGCGGGAACACGGCGAGAGGAACGCGCGGAGCAAAGGTAAGTGAATTGACACAGGGGGGACTTGGCTTACTACTTGGGGGGGAATAGTACTATGGGGGATGAAATACTATATGGGGGATGAATTACTATGGGGGATGAATTACTATGGGGGATGAATTACTATATGGGGGATGAATTACTATATGGGGGATGAATTACTATATGGAGGATGAATTACTATGGGGGATGAATTACTATATGGGGGATGAATTACTATATGGAGGATGAATTACTATATGGGGATGAAATACTATATGGGGGATGAATTACTATATGGGGGATGAATTACTATATGGGGGGGGGATGAAATACTATATGGGGGATGAATTACTATATGGGGGATGAATTACTATATGGAGGATGAATTACTATATGGAGGATGAATTACTATGGGGGATGAATTACTATATGGGGGATGAATTACTATGGGGGATGAATTACTATATGGGGATGATGAATTAATTACTATGGGGGATGAATTACTATATGGGGGATGAATTAATTACTATGGGGGATGAATTACTATATGGGGGATGAATTACTATATGGGGGATGAATTACTATATGGGGGATGAATTACTATGGGGGATGAATTACTATGGGGGATGAATTACTATATGGGGGATGAATTACTATGGGGGATGAATTACTATATGGGGGATGAATTACTATGCTTACTATGGGGGAATATTACTATACTTACTATGGATGACACATACATCATTCATCTACTCTTGGTCCGGCCCCCGGGTCCAATATATGAACCCATTGCGGCCCTCAAGTCAAAAAGTTTGCCCACCCCTGGTCTATGACATGACTTGGTGGTGGAGTACAACAATGGGGTCAGCTACACAGATAAATCCATGGCCACATTAACACGTGGCAGGGCAATCATTGACACGCAGACCAATAGGAGCCCTTGCTGGGGCTTACTGTGGGGATTAAATAGCAATATCCAGGTGGTTGCAATTGTCAGATGTTCTTTAACATCATATAATTATAAAACATTTGTACCTTTTTATCGTGTCATGTTTTACTCCGCTCCCACGTAGAAGTATTTGTATATTAGAATGCCAAATAAGTTCAATCCATTTCAGCCGACCAGATGCACCAGAGACGATCGAGTTGGAGATCCGGACAACGTCTACAGATGGCGTCATTTTTTGGCAGGGAATGGTATGTTTCTGCATTTTTTTACTTTGTCAGGTAACCCGGGCAGCCAACCAATAATCAGCCCTTTAGGTTCAGCTTCTGGAACATGTTACACGTTTCACCCATGTTTATGGTATAGCTGCATGCTCCAGCACATGTTCTCCTCGCAATCCTCAGAACTTGGCTTTTAAAGCAGCATTCATTCCAGATCTCCTCCATCTTTAAGGTTGTATTGTGCCCAAGGCTTCCGTTTTGGTTTGTTGTCGGAGGTAAATGTAGACCCAGCTAAGTCTATATGTATGGGACACGTGAAGAGCCGCCATGGTTGGGTACAGATGATGGCGGACAGCAGATCATACGTTTCTGAGATCTCTTCCATGCTGCCTTTTCTCCTGCTTTCCATACTGTTGAATGGCATTGGGAAGATGAGCTCCAGTGTTGTGTAGGGAATCCTGCACCATGCACTCATACTTCTCAGTATGTCACATTATCACCCCCGCCATATTGTTATGACAATGTACTGGAGCAGATGAGGGACAAAGTCCTCTGTACACATGACCTCAGAGAACTCGTCAACGTGTCTTTAATAGGAACTGTCAGGTCACATCCACACAATGGTACAATACAAGGTGCGGGACAGGTCACATCCACACAATGGTATGAATCGAGGGATAGACGGGTCACGCCTGGGCAATGGTACGATACAAGGGATGGACAGGTCACGCCTGGGAAATCGTATGATACAAGGGGTGGACAGGTCACGCCTGGGAAATGGTACGATACAAGGGGTGGACGGGTCACGCCCGGGCAATGGTACAATGCAAGGGGTGGACGGGTCACGTCCGGGCAACGGTACAAGGGGTGGACGGGTCACGTCCGGGCAACGGTACAAGGGGTGGACGGGTCACGTCCGGGCAACGGTACGATACATGGGGGTGGACGGTTCACACGTCCGGGCAACGGTACGATACAAGGGGTGGACGGGTCACGTCCGGGCAACGGTACGATACAAGGGGTGGACGGGTCACGTCCGGGCAACGGTACGATACAAGGGGTGGACGGGTCACGCCCGGGCAACGGTACGATACAAGGGGTGGACGGGTCACGCCCGGGCAACGGTACGATACAAGGGGTGGACGGGTCACGCCCGGGCAACGGTACGATACAAGGGGTGGACGGTTCACGTCCGGGCAACGGTACGATACAAGGGGTGGACGGGTCACGCCCGGGCAACGGTACGATACAAGGGGTGGACGGGTCACGCCCGGACAACGGTACGATACAAGGGGTGGACGGGTCACGCCCGGTTAACGGTACGATACAAGGGGTGGACGGGTCACGCCCGGGCAACGGTACGATACAAGGGGTGGACGGGTCACGCCCGGGCAACGGTACGATACAAGGGGTGGACGGGTCACGCCCAGGCAATGGTACAATACAAGGGGTGGACGGGTCACGTGTAAAAACCGCCATCAATGTAACTACATGCTGCCATGATTAAAGCCTCGATTTCCATCTCTCATCACGTTCCCCCCCCCAGGAAGCCTTCCGGTCTCAGCATGGCCTGCATGATACTAATCAGGTACTTCAATCTTTTATGGGTCCATAATTCTGACCAAACAAAGGCCTCCGCCCCCCGTCACCTCAGGTCCGCCACCTCCGCTCCGTCACGATGATGGTTTATATAATGAAGCCAAGTGCACCAACACATACCAACCAATCAGAAGGCTGCAATCAGATTGCTCTGCGTTCCTGCACCCCGCCTCCACTCCTTGCACGGCGTTATAAACCCGAGGCCCTTGTTCAGTATTTGGACATAATATCGCTTCTGTCTGTGCAAAACAATAATCGCCCCAACTGCAGATTTAACATCACGCCGCTTCGTTGGCTGTATAACATCTCTATATTGGGCTTCTCGTGTCTGTAGGAATATGCAGAACGGGCCAATAGGAATAGTTCAGTAACCTCTCTCTCCTCCCCCGCAGTAGCGTCACTTCACACAGTTCAATCAATGTTTGTATTGCAGGAGGTAAGAGAAGGCGGCCGGGAGAGGGACTTCATCAGTCTTGGCCTGAAGGACGGTCACCTCCTCTTCAGGTAAGATCTGTCCTGTGAACGGCCCTCAGGGGTGGGATAAGACCGGAGCTGAGCCAATAGAAAGTGCAGGAAAGGAAGAGGGTTGTCCATAGCAGACTCCTCCCATGTCCACCCCATCCATGTAACTGGAATGCTGCTATGTGATCTCTCCAGAGAATGTTCCTCCCGCTAAGCAGCATCTCCAAACCACAAATAAAACAAAACTTTTATTGAACCTTTTTAAAAATTAATTGATTGACCCCTGCGGGTCCTGAGAAGACCCTCCCCCACCCTTCCTAAAGGAGACGGGCGGGGCCAGAATCCAGGTATTGCTGTGTTGCCAGTGCAATAAAAAGCTTTGGCCAATGTGAAGCCTCTGATCCCTTTTTACCTATAATACAAACACTGCAATCTGATTGGTTGTTCAGGACCCCATACAGTATATCTGCTCTGCTGAGCTGCCAGCCCTCAGAATTCATACAGTTCTGGTCTCTTCTACAGTTACCAGCTGGGCAGCGGAGAAGCCAACATTATGACAGAAGATCCCATCAATGATGGTGAATGGCACAAGATCACCGCCATCCGGTAAGTGGATGTAGCTTTCATGATGATGTCACCCCCTGCCCTACACAACTGCCATCTGTTCCACTTCTGGAAGTCCAGTCCCCTGCTCTACACAACTGCCATCTGTTCCACTTCTGGAAGTCCAGTCCCCTGCTCTACACAACTGCCATCTGTTCCACTTCTGGAAGTCCAGTCCCCTGCTCTACACACCTGCCATCTGTTCCACTTCTGGAAGTCCAGTCCCCTGCTCTACACAACTGCCATCTGTTCCACTTCTGGAAGTCCAGTCCCCTGCTCTACACACCTGCCATCTGTTCCACTTCTGGAAGTCCAGTCCCCTGCTCTATGCACCTGCCATCTGTTCCACTTCTGGAAGCCCAGTCCAGTCCCCTGCTCTACGCAACTGCCATCTGTTCCACTTCTGGAAGCCCAGTCCAGTCCCCTGCTCTACGCAACTGCCATCTGTTCCACTTCTGGAAGCCCAGTTCAGTCCCCTGCTCTACGCACCTGCCATCTGTTCCACTTCTGGAAGCCCAGTCCAGTCCCCTGCTCTACACACCTGCCATCTGTTCCACTTCTGGAAGCCCAGTCCAGTCCCCTGCTCTACGCAACTGCCATCTGTTCCACTTCTGGAAGCCCAGTCCAGTCCCCTGCTCTACGCAACTGCCATCTGTTCCACGTCTGGAAGCCCAGTCCAGTCCCCTGCTCTACGCAACTGCCATCTGTTCCACTTCTGGAAGCCAAGTCCAGTCCCCTGCTCTACGCAACTGCCATCTGTTCCACTTCTGGAAGCCAAGTCCAGTCCCCTGCCCTACGCAACTGCCATCTGTTTCACTTCTAGATGTCCAGTCCCCTGCCCTACGCAACTACCATCTGTTCCACTTCTGGAAGTCCAGTCCCGACCTACGCGACTGCCCTCTGTTCCATGTCTAGTAGTCCGGACCCCTGCACTACACAATTGCCATCCGTTCCACTTCTAGCAGTCCAGTCCCCTGCCCTACGCAAACTGCCCTCTGTGCCTCTTCTAGCAGTCCAGTCCCTTGTGCTACATTCTACTTTTAGTAGTCCAGTCCCCTGCCCTATGCAACTGCCATCTGTTCCACTTCTAGTAGTCCAGTCCCCTGCGCTACGTGACTGCCATCGATCTCATTTCTGGTAATGCAGACTGCAGGGCGTTACACAACCACAGTCCATTCAGCTCCCAGTGATGCCCCTTCCTACGACCTTGTACATTACAGAGCCAATGTCCTGTATGGGCTGCTCAATGCCTGGAGAGCATCGTGTAAGGGGGAGATTGGCCATAAACTCTGCAAAGACAGAAAGCTCAGGACTGAGAGATCGTTCGGAAGAACTGAAGGGAAGAAGAAAAAAAAAAATCTGTATTGACCAAGGCACCCAATCAGGTCCCGACTTGACCGAGGCACCCAATCAGGTCCCGACTTGACCGAGGCACCCAATCAGGTCCCGACTTGACCGAGGCACCCAATCAGGTCCCGACTTGACCGAGGCACCCAATCAGGTCCCGACTTGACCGAGGCACCCAATCAGGTCCCGACTTGACCGAGGCACCCAATCAGGTCCCGACTTGACCGAGGCACCCAATCAGGTCCCGACTTGACCGAGGCACCCAATCAGGTCCCGACTTGACCGAGGCACCCAATCAGGTCCCGACTTGACCGAGGCACCCAATCAGATCCTGACTTTTACCATTACTGACCTCAGGAATAAACATGGTTGCCTGCTCAGGAATGGTGGCCACTTTCGTCCAGATGCAGTTTAATATACGGAACTGTGAGATATGATCCGCCTTTGTTCTCCACAGGGAAGGGAAGTCTGGATCTATACAGGTGGATGGTGAGGACGTCGTCTCTGGAAGTTCACCCGGTAAAAACATCATGGTGGACACAAAGGGGAGCGTTTACATTGGTGAGTTCGCACTGACAGATCACCATGCTCTTAGAAACTATGAAAGTTTATAGACAAAGGCCTCATCCTGCAGCTGAATGCTATTGGAGGATCATCCTCCACGTAGACAGGCTGAGAGTCCATGTACCCTTCCATCCTCCCACACGCAACACCAATGCTGCACATATATGACGTACGCAGCAAAGCTCCTTGTATAATGGTGGCACTCCTTCCTAGAATACAAGACTACAACTCTAACTTTCATGATAGAACCTGAGAGCAAACAGCACATCCTGACCCCTAACATGGGGGTGAAATACATGCGCGCGCGCACGATGGGCAGGGAGGGAGACTGAGCATACAGCGGGATGACAGAGGCATGTTCATTGACCACACTATAATGGATCAGCATCCATGATTACCGTGGTCAGTACACCTAGGGGGGGACATAGGAACAGGCAGGATCAACCAGGTATTTTACAGCATAGACAGTGACAACTTACACCGCAGAAGTGCTGTGGTATTTAAAGAAGGGGTCTCCAAACGATGACCCTCCAGCTGTTGAAGTACAAGTCCCATCATGTCTTTGGGAGTCTTGCCTGTGGCGGTCAGAGTATTGTAAGGCCTCATGGGACTTGCAGTTCCTCAACACCTGGAAGGCCATAGTTTGGAGGCTCCTGCTTTTTTTTTTTATTTATTTTTAGGGTTACAACCGCTTTAAATTATTCAGATCACCAAACAAATTTTGATAGGACATAAAGATCACCCAAATAAACACAAAATGCAGTTTTTAAATAATTATTTCATTTATTAGGGGGAAAGGTCCGTCCAAACCCCCAAGTTAAGGGTTATCTTTGATGATCTGAATCATTTAAGTGTGATAAATATGCTAACAGATCAGGAAGGGGGTAAATACTTTTTTTGCAGCACTGTAGCTACCTGTTCTAGGGTGCTGGTCCCTGCTGATCTGCCTCTCACATGTGACATCACATACAAGCACCTGGGATGGGTGTAAGAGGAGGATTGTGGGTACCAGCACCCCAGAACCGGTAGCTGTGTCTCACTGTATGTCTTCCTTGTGCCAACCTCTACCTATGGCAGAATTGACTTCTGCCGGAGGGTCAGTATGGCTGGGACACGACCTACCTATAACCTATCTGGGATGGTTGGGGAGATTACGACTGACCTGTTGTAGAGAAGACCAGGACCATGAATGGAGAATGTCTCTGGTAGAAGTAAATGCCCCAATACAGAGAGTCTCCCTCTCTGACCACAACTTCTGTCCAGACAGTAACCATGACGGACAAGACCTTCTGTCTTACCGGTACGATCTCTGACCTCCTTTTCCTCTTGCGGCAGGCGGGGTTCCCGACGTACAGCTGACAACGGCTGGAAAGTTCTCCAGTGGAATCTCCGGCTGCATCAAGAACCTGGTGATCCTCAACGCCAGGCCCTCCGACCAGCTGCACCAGCCCATCGACTTGAAGCACAACGCCGAGTCAGGTCATAACACCAAAGAGTGCCCCTCGTAGGCGGAGACTGTGCCCCACCCCCGCAGGCCACGCCAGGGCAATCCAGACTATTCTTTATTTTTTTTTTTTTTTCCCTTCAAGAGACAATGACAAACCGAGAATCATTGTAAATGGTGCTTCTGCTGCTACCAAAAACCAGAGGTGGTGCTAAAAAAAAAAAAAAAGTATTTGGATTGCGCATCTTTGTATTACCTACACAGGATCTTCTTTTTAATTATTATTATTATTTTTTTGTAATGTCTTCAGATTTCCATGTGTTTTACAGCTGGATGAAGGAAATATGTATGTATTGAAACAGATGTATGTTTTTTAAAAAGAACCCCTAACCAAAAAAACCCCCCAACTCCTAACAGAACAGGCTGTATGTTTAATGTGGGGGGAGACGAGACAATCTATTCTTCACAATTGTTGTGTATATAGAAATGGGCCGGACAACGGCTGAAGCCCCAGACCTGGTCTTCATCCTGAGGGGTAGGCCCCATGTTCTATATGGCTGAGATTGGGGACGTGTGGTCTGGAGAGGGTTCCAGAACATTCGGGTCAAAGGAGAAGGTGCCAGGGGGTGTTACTCCCTGATCCCAGAGGTCTCATAGGCCGAGACGGGATGGAATTGAAGGGGGCGATGGGTCCTCTTTAGGATGGGGTCTTCTTCTACATCTCATTAGGTCTTGTACTGGCGGATGGCTTCTAACTTGGAACGATATTTATGTTATTTAGCTAACAGACACGAGTGTATTATAAAAAGGTGCATCGACTTAGTTCAGGTCAGATACATGATTTCCAATAAAATCATTCCTCTCCTTCGCTCTGCTCATTCCCCATCATTTGTCGCCCTATAATCACTCTTCATACAAGGATGTCAGCAAACCCCTCACCCATGGTGGGACCAATATCAAAAAAAAAAGCCAGACGCCAGTCCCCCATTCTGAAGCTACACCGTAGAGTTTCTGCTGATCTAGTAGAGAGGAACCAGGACCAATTCCCCCATACACAAGACTCCATAGCCGAGAAGGTCACAGAGCATACAATCCATACAGTAATGAGTGGTTGTGACCTTCGACCTAAGGGCTCATTTACACTCGCTTCAACCTTAACAAACATTATAGCGCCTCCCGCTTCAACATGCTTCTCTGAAGGTTTAATGAAGATTGGCAAATGCTCTGGATGTGGGATTTTCTATGCCTTTTAAAGAGGCCCACTAGAACCCCAGCTCTGCAGATCCCCAGCTTAGTAGTAACCCCCAAATCTGTGGATCCCCCCACTCAATAGTAACCCATAGCTCTGCTGATACCCCCCTCAGTAGTAATCCCCAGCTCAATAGTAACCCCCACCTCTGCTGACCTCCAACTCCGTAGTAACCCCCAGCTCTGCTGATCCCCCCGATCAGTAGTAACCCCCAGCTCTGCTGACCTCCAGCTTAATAGTAAACCCCCAAATCTGTGGATCCCCCACTCAGTAGTAAACCTCAGCTCTGCAGACCTCCAGCTCAATAGTAAACTCCAAATTCTGTGGATCCCCCACTCAGTAGTAAACCTCAGCTCTGCAGACCTCCAGCTCAATAGTAACCTCCAAATCTGTGGATCCCCCACTCAGTAGTAAACCCCAGCTCTGCAGATCTCCTGCTCAATAGTAACCCCTAGCTCTGTTGATCTCCAGCTCAGTAGTAATCCCCCCCCCCCCCCTCCCTCAGTAGTAACCCCCAGCTCTATAGAGCCCCTGCTCAACAGTAACCCCCAGATCTGCTGATCTCCAGCTCAGCAGTAACCCCCAGCTCTGCTGATCTCCAGCTCAGCAGTAACCCCCAGCTCTGCTGATCTCCAGCTCAGCAGTAACCCCCAGCTCTGCTGATCCCCCGCTCAATAGTAACCTGCAGCTCTGCTGATCCTCAGCTCTGTAGTAACCCCCAGCTCTGTGGATCCCCTGATCAATAGTAACTCCCAGATCTGCTGCTCCCCCACTCAGTAGTGACTCCCCACTCTGCGGATCCTCCACTCCGTAGTAACCGCCAGCTCTGTGGATCCTTCTCTCTCCCCAGTCCCTGCCCACCTCCCGGTATATTGCCCCCACCCTGCTCACCATTTCTGACATTGCTAGTTTCTCCTGCTCCGATCCCCCATCTGGGGGCTGTGGGGGGTGGGGGGGGCGGGCCTCTGCTCATCCTCTGCCGCTCACTCCTCTCCTCAGTCCGGACCCCGCTCACCTGCCTGCTGCTCCACCCCAGATGTGACGTCTGCACCACACACACCTGGAATATATACAGATGAACCGGAAGTGACTGCCGGAAACATCTTTCCAGTTCATTTGCTGTTTTCTCTGTGCATTCTGGGATATCTCATATCTGCAATACCTACAAAACAAAGCAAACCTAACTGATTAAAAGCTGCAGATGATATTATCGAGCTTTGTCAGACTTCTCTGGAGGCTTCGGAGATACTTTGAAGCACCAAGAAAATGACACGGGGGATCATTTTTGAAGAAACACAACATGTGAACAGGACTGTAAGGCAGCCATATTTTAATTTTAGTGACGGGGGCTTTGATTGACATGAAAAGCGTGTCCAGTGCCACATTTTGAAGCAAGTGTAAACAAGCCCTAATGAGGGTTTTAGCCTTCCACCGAAGAGTGAACGCACCTTTGTGAGCAGCAGAGCACTGTATACCTGTATGTGAATAGATGGTTCCCGGGATTTGGCAGGAACTGATCCTGGGCTCTTGTGTATTGAATGGACAGGCTGGGAAGAGAAGGACAATAAACTACTGTTGACTCCAGAGCGCTCTGGATTAGTGTGAATGGGGAAATGCACTGTATGTAGGAGGGGTGATGGACCACTGACGGGGTTTGCTGGGGAGGTTGCAGGTCAGTTGACATGGACAAAGGCCAGGCCATGGTCCTCTTGTTCTAGAATTTGTAGTTCCGACAACAAATCCCTCACCTTCATTAGATGTAAAGACATAAGACTGCTTTCTAGAATGGAGGGCAGCGCACACACCACTGGGACGGGCTGTATCTACACCAGTATGGAGGGGGGGGGGGGGGCACACACCACAGGACGGGCTGTATCTACACCAGAATGTGGTGGCACACACCAGGTCAGTGGGAAGAATGTCCCTTACATTGGGGGTCAGTGGGAAGAATGTCCCTTACATTGGAGGTCAGTGGGAAGAATGTCCCTTACATTGGGGGTCAGTGGGAAGAATGTCCCTTACATTGGGGGTCAGTGGGAAGAATGTCCCTTACATTGGGGGTCAGTGGGAAGAATGTCCCTTACATTGGGGGTCAGTGGGAAGAATGACCCTTACATTGGGGGGTCAGTGGGAAGAATGACCCTTACATTGGGGGTCAGTGGGAAGAATGTCCCTTACATTGGGGGTCAGTGGGAAGAATGTCCCTTACATTGGGGGATCAGTGGGAAGAATGTCCCTTACATTGGGGGGTCAGTGGGAAGAATGTCCCTTACATTGGGGGTCAGTGGGAAGAATGTCCCTTACATTGGGGTCAGTGAGAAGAATGTCCCTTACATTGGGGGTCAGTGGGAAGAATGTCCCTTACATTGGGGGTCAGCGGGAAGAACGCTCCTTACATTGGGGGTCAGCGGGAAGAACGTCCCTTACATTGGGGGTCAGCGGGAAGAACGTCCCTTACATTGGGGGTCAGTGGGAAGAATGTCCCTTACATTGGGGGTCAGTGGGAAGAATACTCCTTATATTGGGGGTCAGTGGGAAGAATGTCCCTTACATTGGGGGTCAGTGAGAAGAATGTCCCTTACATTGGGGGTCAGTGGGAAGAATACTCCTTACATTGGTGATCAGTGGGAAGAATGTCCCTTACATTGGGGGTCAGCGGGAAGAATACTCCTTATATTGGGGGGGTCAGCGGGAAGAATGTCCCTTACATTGGGGAAGAATACTAACCTTACGGACCACTAAAAAAGGTCATTGACATTGGTTCTCCCAAGTTGCGCTGGCTCCAGAACTATGCAGGCGCCATCAACAGCTCAAAGAACTGACTAAATGTGTTGGAGATTGGCTGCTCCAAACTACATCTTACATGCAAAGATATACATAGCTGTTGGGCCCCTTCACAGCCAATTACAAAGATAAATTATTATGGAGTACGAGGCTCACTGGAGATTAGAGACAGACAGGCCCATCTCATTTTCATAGTATTTACTGACAGCTGGCCAACATCCAGAAAGGCAGGAAGGGGCCGTCTATGATTGTTACAATTCCTGACTGCTGGCCCATCCCCCACCATACAAGAGGGGACGTCATTGTGGGCCCGCAGGAACCAATCCCAACTTTCTTTCATTTTCTAACCTGCGCTGAAAACTGATTGGTGACAATAAGGACCACAATGAGGTGAGGACCACAGACACCTACCCCCGATGACCTGTGTGGCCGGGTATAGAGCACACAGAAGGGCCTATTTAATACAGACTTGTTCCTGACACTATGTGGGGGAGGATGGGGGATGGGGGCCCCCTAGCACTCAGTTCTGTCATCACTATACCTCAGTGCACCTTGCATTTCACAACTGACCAATAAACCAGAAGTTGGAACACCAAACACCGTGTGGTCTCATCATGTCACCCCCCAAAACACAGCAAATCAAAAACAATGCGGCACCATGAAGGTGTAGGAGTTGTATTTACAGAAACGAGAATTTGTACACAAAGCTAATAAATAGTAAAGACCAGCTTGATGGAATCATCTTGTTGTCGGACAAGTTACAGAGGTCAGTGTCTGATGATAATCCAGGACACAGTCACACCAGAGTGATGGTGGTTGGGTAGAGGTAGAAGTGAACTCAATCTCCAGCCAGAGTTCCCACTTCTCCATGTGAGCTGACGAAACAGGAACCAGGCAAGCCATGTTTGGTCCTTCATGCGACACAGGAACTGGAAACAAGCCACATCTGGTCCATCATGTGGCATGGGAACTGGAAACAAGCCACGTCTGGTCCATCATGTGGCATGGGAACTGAAAACCAGACACGTTTGGTCCATCATGTGGCATGGGAACTGGAAACCAGACATGTTTGGTCCATCATGTGGCATGGGAACTGGAAACCAGACATGTTTGGTCCATCATGTGGCATGGGAACTGGAAACCAGACATGTTTGGTTCATCATGTGGCATGGGAACTGGAAACAAGCCACGTCTGGTCCATCATGTGGCATGGGAACTGAAAACCAGCCACGTTTGGTCCATCATGTGGCATGGGAACTGGAAACCAGCCATGTTTGGTCCATCATGTGACATGGGAACTGGAAACCAGCCATGTTTGGTCCATCATGTGGCATGGGGAACTGGAAACCAGACATGTTTGGTCCATCATGTGGCATGGGAACTGGAAACCAGCCATGTTTGGTCCATCATGTGGCACGGGAACTGGAAACCAGACATGTTTGGTCCATCATGTGGCATGGGAACTGGAAACCAGACATGTTTGGTCCATCATGTGGCACAGAAACCTGAAAACAGCCATGATTGGTATGTCATAAGACAAAAGGAACAAGCCATGTTGGGCCCATCATGTGACAGAAGAACCGTGAACAAGCCATGTTTGGCACAGGAACCAGCCATGTTTGGCTCATCATATGGCAAAGAAATCTGAAACCAGCCATATGGCACAGGAACCGGGAATAAGCCACGTTTGGTTCGTCAGATGCCACAAAGGTCAAAGATCACACAGGCACAGTCGATGCCGTGCTCTGAGGCGTCACTTTACTAGGGCGACTGTTGTCCCTCAGAACGCAGCTGCGGGTGCAGAGGTGGCAGGACGCACAGAACGAGTTACAGCAAGGGATGAAGCGGCAGACACTGATCCTCCATATAAACCAGCCCGGTGACCAGCAACACCAAAACAAGAGAGCGACACCGACCACTAAGCCCAGGATAACGTACAAGTAGAGGAACGATCTTCTTTCTGAAACAAGAATACATAATGGAGGAATGATTACTTCTAGAGAACCAACACCTTGGAACCTCTATTACCCCCTCATATCAGTTCTCCTGTATAGACAAGCACCTGGTAACACCATCTATAAAAGCACCATGAGACTATCTGGTCTCTAGGGGGTACCTACAGGAGAGATGGAAGGGTGAGGGGAGGGGTACCTACAGGAGAGATGGAAGGGTGAGGGGGGGGCACCTATAGGAGAGGTGGAAGGGTGAGGGGGGCACCCATAGGAGAATTAGAAGGGTGAGGGGGGGGCACCTATAGGAGAGATGGAAGGGTGAGGGGAGGGGTACCTACAGGAGAGATGGAAGGGTGAGGGGGGTACCTACAGGAGAGATGGAAGGGTGAGGGGAGGGGTACCTACAGGAGAGATGGAAGGGTGAGGGGAGGGGTACCTACAGGAGAGATGGAAGGGTGAGGGGAGGGGTACCTACAGGAGAGATGGAAGGGTGAGGGGAGGGGTACCTACAGGAGAGATGGAAGGGTGAGGGGGGGGCACCTACAGGAGAGATGGAAGGGTGAGGGGGTACCTACAGGAGAGATGGAAGGGTGAGGGGGGGGCACCTACAGGAGAGATGGAAGGGTGAGGGGGGGGTACCTACAGGAGAGATGGAAGGGTGAGGGGGGGCACCTATAGGAGAGATGGAAGGGTGAAGGGGGTACCAACAGGAGAGATGGAAGGGTAAGGGGGGCACCTATAGGAGAGGTGGAAGGGTGAGGGGGGCACCCATAGGAGAATTAGAAGGGTGAGGGGGGGCACCTATAGGAGGGATGGAAGGGTGAGGGGAGGGGCACCTACAGGAGAGATGGAGGGGGGTGAGTGAAGGGGAGGGGGGCACCTACAGGAGAGATGAAGGGGAAGGGTGAGGTGGAGGGGCACCTACAGGAGAGATGGAAGGGTGAGGGGAGGGGCACCTACAGGAGAGATGGAACGGTGAGGGGAGGGGCACCTACAGGAGAGATGGAACGGTGAGGGGAGGGGCACCTACAGGAGAGATGGAAGGGTGAGGGGAGGGGCACCTACAGGAGAGATGGAAGGGTGAGGGGAGGGGCACCTACAGGAGAGAGATGGAAGGGTGAGGGGAGGGGCACCTACAGGAGAGATGGAAGGGTGAGGGGGGGGGGCACCTACAGGAGAGATGGAAGGGTGAGGGGGGCACCTACAGGAGAGATGGAAGGGTGAGGGGGGCACCTACAGGAGAGATGAAGGGTGAGGGGAGGGGCACCTACAGGAGAGATGAAGGGTGAGGGGGGCACCTACAGGAGAGATGGAAGGGTGAGGGGGGCACCTACAGGAGAGATGGAAGGGTGAGGGGGGCACCTACAGGAGAGATGGAAGGGTGAGGGGTCATCTACAGGAGAGATGAAGGGTGAGGGGGGCACCTACAGGAGAGATGGAAGGGTGAGGGGGGCACCTACAGGAGAGATGAAGGGGGTACCTGTGTTTGATCCGTGAGGCTGGACACTTTCCGGAAGAAACAGCTTGCGGTTCCCATCCTTCCCACAGCTCAGGTTGGAAGAGGTGGTGGCCTGCAGAATGGTGGAGGTGGCTGGGCTGGTGACCATGGCCTCTATGGGGGTCCTGGATCCCACCATTCCTGCACAGACAGGACAACAATCAGTGGATTCCCAGGTAGAAGCACATGGTGTGCTACAGCAACACATTGGAATGGGGGGGGGGGGGGGGCAGGGGGTTACTTACTAAAACTGGAGAGTATAATCTGGGGCAGCTCTGCATAGAAACCAATCAGCTTCCAGGTTTTATTGTCAAAGCTTCATTGAAGAGGCAGAAGGTAGAAGCCGATTGGCTCCTGTGCCCGGCTGCACCAGATTGCTCCAGTATGAGTGAACCCCCCCAATGCCAGAATCTCCTTCATGTCTCCTCAGCCCATAATAATCCAGAGGAGTCCAGAAGAACAATCGTCTTCAGTACAGACCATACATGACCCAATGGCAGAGGAACGTCCTTCATAACAAACGGTGCCGGAGATTCCGAATAAATGATTCAAAAGGAAAAGAAACAAATCCCCGTTATCAGCGATCGGTACATATAGGGGGGGGGGGGGGGGCCGTGAGCGTCCACATCCGATCGGTACATATAGGGGGGCCGTGAGCGCCCCCATCCGATCGGTACATATAGGGGGGCCGTGAGCGCTCCCATCCGATCGGTACATATAGGGGGGCCGTGAGCGCTCCCATCCGATCGGTACATATAGGGGGGCCGTGAGCGCCCCCAGGGGGAACGTGAGCGCTCCCATACCGATCGGTACATATAGGGGGAACGTGAGCGCTCCCCATCCGATCGGTACATATAGGGGGGCCCCCCGGGCCGTGAGCGCCCCCATCCGATCGGTACATATAGGGGGGCCGTGAGCGCCCCCATCCGATCGGTACATATAGGGGGGCCGTGAGCGCCCCCATCCGATCGGTACATATAGGGGGGCCGTGAGCGCCCCCATCCGATCGGTACATATAGGGGGGCCGTGGCGTGTCTGAGCGCTCCCATCGATCGGTACATATGGGGGGGGGGGGGGGGGCATATAGGGGGGCCGTGAGCGCTCCCATCCGATCGGTACATATAGGGGGGCCGTGAGCGCCCATCCATCCGATCGGTACATATCGGGGGGGGGCCGTGAGCGCCCCCATCCGATCGGTACATATAGGGGGGGGGGCCGTGAGCGCCCCCATCCGATCGGTACATATACATATAGGGGGGGCCGTGAGCGCTCCCGTCCGATCGGTACATATAGGGGGAACGTGAGCGCTCCCATCCGATCCGTACATATAGGGGGGGCCGTGACGTGAGCGCTCCCATCCGATCGGTACATATAGGGGGGGGGGGGGGCGTGAGCGCTCCCATCCGATCCGTACATATAGGGGGGCCGTGAGCGCTCCCATCCGATCGGTACATATAGGGGGGGGGGGGCGTGAGCGCTCCCATCCGATCGGTACATATAGGGGGGGGGCGTGAGCGCTCCCATCCGATCGGTACATATAGGGGGGGGGGGGGCGTGTGAGCGCTCCCGTCTGATCGGTACATATAGGGGGGAACGTGAGCGCCCCCATCCGATCGGTACATATAGGGGGAACGTGAGCGCTCCCATCCGATCGGTACATATAGGGGGGGCCGTGAGCGCTCCCATCCGATCGGTACATATAGGGGGGGGGGTGAGCGCTCCCGCTCCCCGATCGGTACATATGGGGGGGGGGGCCGTGAGCGCTCCCATCCGATCGGTACATATAGGGGGGGGGGCGTGAGCGCTCCCATCCGATCGGTACATATGGGGGGGGGGGGCGTGAGCGCTCCGTCTGATCGGTACATATCGGGGGGGGGGCGTGAGCGCTCCCATCCGATCCGTACGCGCCCCCATCCGATCGGTACATATAGGGGGGGCGTGAGCGCCCCCATATGATCGTACATATAGGGGGGGGGGGGGCCGTGAGCGCCCCCATCCGATCGGTACATATAGGGGGGGCCGTGAGGAGCGCCCCCATCCGATCGGTACATATAGGGGGGCCGTGATGGGGGGGGGGGGGGGGGCGTGAGCGCCCCCATCCGATCGGTACATATAGGGGGGCCGTGAGCGCCCCCATCCGATCGGTACATATAGGGGGGCCGTGAGCGCCCCATCCGATCGGTACATATAGGGGGGGGGGCCGTGAGCGCGCTCCCATCCGATCGTGAGCGTACATATGGGGGGGGGGGGCCGTGAGCGCTCCCATCCGATCGGTACATATAGGGGGGGGCGTGAGCGCTCCCATCCGATCGGTACATATGGGGGGGGGGGGGGGGCGTGAGCGCTCCCATCCCGATCCGGTACATAGGGGGGGGGGCGTGAGCGCTCCCATCCGATCGGTACATATAGGGGGGGGGGGGGGGGGCGTGAGCGCTCCCATCCGATCGGTACATATAGGGGGGGGGGGGGGCGGGGCGTGAGCGCTCCCGTCCAATCGGTTACATATAGGGGGGCCGTGAGCGCTCCCATCCGATCGTACATATAGGGGGGGGGGCGCCGTGAGCGCTCCCATCCGATCCGATCGGTACATATAGGGGGGGGGGGGGGGCCGTGAGCGCGCTCCCATCCGATCGGTACATATATATGAGCGCTCCCATCCGATCGGTACATATAGGGGGTAGGGGGGGCCGTGAGCGCTCCCATCCGATCGGTACATATAGGGGGGGGGGGTGAGTGAGCGCTCCCATCCGATCGGTACATATAGGGGGGGGGGGGGGGGGCGTGAGCGCTCCCATCCGATCAGTACATATAGGGGGGGGGGCCGTGAGCGGGGGGGGGGGCCGTGAGCGCTCCCATCCGATCAGTACATATAGGGGGGGGGGCGTGAGCGATCCCATCCGATCATTGGTACATATAGGGGGGGGGCGTGAGCGCTCCCATCCGATCGATCGTACATATAGGGGGGGGGCGTGAGCGCTCCCGTCTCCCATATAGGGGGGCGTGAGCGCTCCCATCCGATCGTACATATAGGGGGGGGGGCGTGAGCGCTCCCATCCGATCCGTACATATAGGGGGGCCGTGAGCGCTCCCATCCGATCGCTACATATAGGGGGGGGCCGTGAGTGCTCCCATCCGATCGGTACATATATAGGGGGGGGGGGCCGTGAGCGCTCCCATCCGATCGGATACATATAGGGGGGCCGTGAGCGCTCCCATCCGATCCGTAGACATGGGGGGGGGGGGGGGGCGTGAGCGCTCCCATCCGATCCGTAGATATAGGGGGGGGGGGGGGGGGCGTGAGCGCTCCCATCCGATCCGTAGATATGGGGGGGGGGGGGGCGTGAGCGCTCCCATCCGATCCGTAGATATAGGGGGGGGGGGGGGGGGCGTGAGCGCTCCCATCCGATCGGTACATATAGGTGTCGGCCATCGGGGATGTGTGCCTTGGTGTCGGTCATGGGAGGGGATGTGTGCCTTGGTGTCGGTCATGGGAGGGGATGTGTGTGCTTGGTGTCGGTCATGGGAGGGGATGTGTGCCTTGGTGTCGGTCATGGGAGGGGATGTGTGCCTTGGTGTCGGTCATGGGAGGGGATGTGTGCCTTGGTGTCAGTCATGGGAGGGGATGTGTGCCTTGGTGTCGGCCATCGGAGGGGATGTGTGCCTTGGTGTCGGCCATCGGAGGATGGAGGAGATGTGTGCCTTGGTGTCGGCCATCGGAGGACGGAGGGAGATGTGTGCCTTGGTGTCGGCCATGGGAGGACGGAGGAGATGTGTGCCTTGGTGTCGGCCATCGGAGGACGGAGGGGATGTGTGCCTTGGTGTCGGCCATGGGAGGACGGAGGGGATGTGTGCCTTGGTGTCGGCCATCGGAGGATGGAGGAGATGTGTGCCTTGGTGTCGGCCATCGGAGGACGGAGGAGATGTGTGCCTTGGTGTCGGCCATCGGAGGATGGAGGGGATGTGTGCCTTGGTGTCGGTCATGGGAGGACGGAGGCAGATGTGTGCCTTGGTGTCGGCCATGGGAGGACGGAGGGGATGTGTGCCTTGGTGTCGGCCATGGGAGGATGGAGGAGATGTGGTGTCTTGGTGTCGGCCATCGAAGGACGGAGGAGATGTGTGCCTTGGTGTCGGCCATGGGAGGACGGGAGGGGATGTGTGCCTTGGTGTCGGCCATGGGAGGATGGAGGAGATGTGTGTCTTGGTGTCGGCCATGGGAGGACGGAGGGATGTGTGCCTTGGTGTCGGCCATCGAAGGACGGAGGAGATGTGTGCCTTGGTGTCGGCCATGGGAGGACGGAGGGGATGTGTGCCTTGGTGTCGGCCATGGGAGGACGGAGGGGATGTGTGCCTTGGTGTCGGCCATCGAAGGACGGAGGAGATGTGTGTGCCTTGGTGTCGGCCATGGAGGACAGAGGGGATGTGTGCCTTGGTGTCGGCCATGGGAGGACGGAGGGATGTGTGCCTTGGTGTCGGCCATGGGAGGATGGAGGGGATGTGTGCCTTGGTGTCGGTCATGGGAGGACGGAGGAGATGTGTGCCTTGGTGTCGGCCATCGGAGGACGGAGGGGATGTGTGCCTTGGTGTCGGTCATGGAGGAGGATGGGAGATGTGTGCCTTGGTGTCGGTCATCGGGAGGACGGAGGATGTGCCTTGGTGTCGGCCATCGGGACGGAGGGATGTGTGCCTTGGTGTCGGCCATGGGAGGACGGAGGGATGTGTGCCTTGGTGTCGGCCATCGGAGGATGGAGGGGATGTGTGCCTTGGTGTCGGTCATGGGAGGATGGAGGAGATGTGTGCCTTGGTGTCGGTCATGGGAGGACGGAGGGGGATGTGTGCCTTGGTGTCGGCCATCGGAGGACGGAGGAGATGTGTGCCTTGGTGTCGGTCATGGGAGGACGGAGGCAGATGCTCCGGATTCACAGCTGTAGGAGAGGAGAGAACACGGAGGAGATCTGAAATCCCCTGCAGCTTTCTCTCCTCTCCTTGTAGGGATGACAGCATAGGCCAGGCAGCTTTTGATTGGTCAGCACCGTCTAGCCTGTACTGTCATCCCTGCACTGAGGAAGGGAAGGGAGATCTCTCCAACTAATCCTTGAATACCAGTGAATCCTGACAGGGGGTTCCCATCATCTATCTATAGCTGTCCGTCCCATATATCCATTCAAAGTACAGAATTTACACAGATTCTCGAGCTGTCAGAAAACAGGTGGCGGGGAGCTGAAGTTACATCAGTGAGGAGAGCTCTGATTGGAGGGAAGGGAAGGGAAGGGACCCCCCCCCCCCCCCACACACACACACACACACACACCTCACACACACACAGCTCACAGGAACAGAGCTGAGAGGCTGTCAATCACAAGCTGTGCTCTCCTGTCACCATTTTTCTCTTGGTGTCAGGAAAACGTGTCAGAAGTGACTGATCGAGGAAGGAGGCAGCAGACAGCAATGACTGAGACAAGTACACACTATAGAGCTTTGGTCTCCAAACTGTGGCCCGGGGCCGGATGTGTGCCCTTTGCTTGCTTTTACCTGGCCCTTAGGGCACGATTTAATCCACTGACACCAACAAATTCCTCCCAGTGATACCAACGATGGGGCATAATTCCAACCAATGACACCAATGATGGGGCAGTTCATCCCAATGATACCACCAAGAATGGAGCCCAGAGAGCTTCCCCTGGTCCTCGGTGTACAAGTCAGCCGGGAGGCCTTTGCATCACTTGGATCCCAAGCAGTGGACAGCCATGAATGCGGGAACCCTGAGGTCAGGCATTGGGGGCGGAGCACTTACCCCTTCCCCCGTCTCGCTGGCAGTTTGCAGGAGGACTGGCGGATTGGTCGCTTCCATCACCACAGTTATCGATGTCGCGCTCATCACACACCAGGCTGGAGGGGATACACTTCCCATTGTGGCAGGAGAAGTACGGCTCCGGTCTGCACTCCGAGCTGTTGAATCCTGCAGGAGAAGATCTGTTATAAGGGGGGAGTCCAGGGGCTTCACTGACCTCTTACCAGATCTCTCAGGACTGACACCGGCAATGACACCCCTTCACGCCAGAAGCCGGCAATGACACCCCTTCACGCCAGAAGCCGGCAATGACACCCCTTCACGCCAGAAGCCGGCAATGACACCCCTTCACGCCAGAAGCCGGCAATGACACCCCTTCACGGCATCCCAGAAAGCCGGCAATGACACCCCTTCACACGCCAGAAGCCGGCAATGACACCCCTTCACACCGCCAGAAGCCGGCAATGACACCCCTTCACGCCAGAAGCCGGCAATGACACCCCTTCACCGCCAGAAGCCGGCAATGACACACCCCCTTCAGCCAGAAGGCAATGACACCCCTTCACACCGCCAGAAGCCGGCAATGACACCCCTTCACACCACCGCCAGAAGCCGGCAATGACACCCCTTCACGCCAGAGAAGCCGGCAATGACACCCCTTCAGCCAGAAGCCGGCAATGACACCCCTTCACACCGCCAGAAGCCGGCAATGACACCCCTTCACACCGCCAGAAGCCGGCAATGACACCCCTTCACGCCGCCAGAAGCCGGCAATGACACCCCTTCACGCCAGAAGGGAAATGACACCCCTTCACACCGCCAGAAGCCGGCAATGACACCCCTTCACACCGCCAGAGAAGCCGGCAATGACACCCCTTCACGCAGAAGCCGGCAATGACCCCTTCACACCGCCAGAAGCCGGAAATGACACCCCTTCATGGGAGAGGAGTCCGGGGGGGGGGGGGGAGAGAGAGAAGAAGCCGGCGGGGAAGGGGAGAGGAGAGAGAAGCCAGCGGGGAAGGGGAGAGGAAGCCAGCGGGGAAGGGGAGGAGAGGAAGCCAGCGGGGAGAGGAGAGGAAGCCAGCGGGGAAGGGGGAGAGGAGAAGAAGCCAGCGGGGAAGGGGAGAGAGGAAGCCAGCGGGGAAGGGGAGAGAGAAGGAAGCCAGCGGGGAAGGGGAGAGGAGAGGAAGCCGGCGGGGAAGGGGAGAGGAGAGGAAGCCGGCGGGGAAGGGGAGAGGAGAGGAAGCCGGCGGGGAAGGGGAGAGGAGAGAAGCCGGCGGGGAAGGGGAGAGGAGAAGAAGCTAGCGGAAGGGGAGGGGAGGAGAGAGAGGGGAAGGGGAGAGAAGCCAGAGGGGAAGGGGAGAGGAAGAAGCAGCGGGGAAGGGGAGAGGAGGGAAGCCAGCGGGGAAGGGGAGGGGAAGCCAGCGGGGAAGGGGAGAGGAGAGGAAGCCGGCGGGGAAGGGGAGAGGAGAGGAAGCCGGCGGGGAAGGGGAGGAGAAGCCAGAGGGGAAGGGGAGGAGAAGCCAGAGGGGAAGGGGAGGAGAAGCCAGAGGGGAAGGGGAGGAGAAGCCAGAGGGGAAGGGGAGGAGAAGAAGCCGGCATTCAGCTGCTGCAGAGAGCCATACAGGGGATTGGTTCCAGTGAGTGCCCCTCTCACCGTGCTCATCACCCTCCCTGCCCACATCTAATACACCCAGCTGCCTGGACCCCGCTGATGGCCTGGGCCCCCTACAGGAGGACTGGCGGTACCCCCCTTATCCACAGCCCTGCCTGGAGTGGAAACTGAATCACCTCCATCAATGGAAACTTTGGATCCATGAACCCAGGAGCCTCCAGTTCCCTGACTGTCAACTATGAAGTCCAGCCCAGCGGGGCCCTTACCTATCCGGAAGGAGGTGAAATCGCCAACAAAATCCACTCTGGGCTGCTGGCCGCGGGTGACCAGGCGTAGGGTCAGGTAGTTGCCGGTAGACAGGACGGGCCGCGGGATGGTCTTCCCACATAGCGGGGTGCCCAGAGGTTCCGAATGGAGGTCCTTCCCATCATAGAACTGGACGTAGGAGCCGGCGTTACAGGGGTCACTGACAGAGCCGGGGGGGCTGCTGGTCTCTACAGAGGGTGGGCCGTGGCCACTGCTGTTCAGCCCGGAGTTCTGGCTCCTCATGTTGGACATTCGCAGGAGGCTGTACACCAGGAAGAAACGGAACTGGAACTGAACCTTGTCCTTCACAGTCGCAGAACGCATGGTCAGCCGGCAGTCCGTCCCCACCGACACAAAGTAGTACTTCCTGGAGTCCGCGTGAGAGCTCACTACCATCCCGTCCCCTCTCACCGTCTGACCACAGAAGTCCACCATGTTCACTGCCGGGGAGAGGAAACGGACATCAGTACACAAGAGCTGACACTCTAATGTCCCCTCCCCCCCCCAGTACCAGAGGAGCTGACACTCTAATGTCCCCTCCCCCCAGTACCAGAGGAGCTGATACTCTAATGTCCCCTCCCCCACAGTCTGACCTCTCAGTCCCTGTATAGAGGAGCTTACACTCTAATGTCCCCTCAACCCCCAGTCACATCAGTCTCTGTACAGAGGAGCTGACACTCTAATGTCCCCTCCCCCACAGTCACATCAGTCTGTGTACCAGAGGAGCTTACGCTCTAATGTCCCCTCCCCCCCACAGTCCCATCAGTCTCTGTACAGAGGAGCTGACACTCTAATGTCCCCTCCCCCCCCATTAGTCTCTCTGTACAGAGGAGCTTACACTCTAATGTCCCCTCCCCCACAGTCCCATCAGTCTCTGTACAGAGGAGCTGACACTCTAATGCCCCCTCCCCCACATTCCCATCAGTCTCTGTACAGAGGAGCTTACACTCTAATGTCCCCTCCCCCCCAGTCCCATCAGTCTCTGTACAGAGGAGCTGACACTCTAATGTCCCCTCCCCCACAGTCCCATCAGTCTCTGTACCAGAGGAGCTTACACTCTAATGTCCCCTCCCCCACAGTCCACATCAGTCTCTGTACCAGAGGAGCTTACACTCTAATGTCCCCTCCCCCACAGTCCCATCAGTCTCTGTACCAGAGGAGCTGACACTCTAATGTCCCCTCCCCCACAGTCCCATCAGTCTCTGTACCAGAGGAGCTTACACTCTAATGTCCCCTCCCCCCACAGTCCCATCAGTCTCTGTACCAGAGGAGCTTACACTCTAATGTCCCCTCCCCCCCTCTGGACCAGAGAGGACCCCCACAGTCCATCAGTCCCTCTGTACAGAGGAGCTGACACTCTAATGTCCCCTCCCCCACAGTCCCATCAGTCTCTGTACAGAGGAGCTGACACTCTAATGTCCCCTCCCCCCCACAGTCCCATCAGTCTCTGTACAGAGGAGCTTACACTCTAATGTCCCCTCCCCCACAGTCCCATCAGTCTCTGTACCAGAGGAGCTTACACTCTAATGTCCCCCTCCCCCACAGTCACATCAGTCTCTGTACAGAGGAGCTTACACTCTAATGTCCCCTCCCCCACAGTCCCATCAGTCTCTGTACAGAGGAGCTTACACTCTAATGTCCCCTCCCCCACAGTCCCATCAGTCTCTGTACAGAGGAGCTTACACTCTAATGTCCCCTCCCCCGCAGTCCCATCAGTCTGTACAGAGGAGCTTACACTCTAATGTCCCCTCCCCCACAGTCCCATCAGTCTCTGTACAGAGGAGCTTACACTCTAATGTCCCCTCCCCCACAGTCACATCAGTCTCTGTACCAGAGGAGCTGACACTCTAATGTCCCCCCTCCCCCACAGTCCCATCAGTCTCTGTACCAGAGGAGCTTACACTCTAATGTCCCCTCCCCCGCAGTCCCATCAGTCTCTGTACCAGAGGAGCTTACACTCTAATGTCCCCTCCCCCACAGTCCCATCAGTCTCTGTACAGAGGAGCTTACACTCTAATGTCCCCTCCCCCACAGTCCCATCAGTCTCTGTACAGAGGAGCTTACACTCTAATGTCCCCTCCCCCACAGTCCCATCAGTCCCTGTACCAGAGCAGCTTACACTCTAATGTCCCCTCCCCCACAGTCCCATCAGTCTCTGTACCAGAGGAGCTTACACTCTAATGTCCCCTCCCCCACAGTCCCATCAGTCTCTGTACAGAGGAGCTTACACTCTAATGTCCCCTCCCCCACAGTCCCATCAGTCTCTGTACCAGAGGAGCTTACACTCTAATGTCCCCTCCCCACAGTCCCATCAGTCTCTGTATAGAGGAGCTTACACTCTAATGTCCCCCTCCCCCACAGTCCCATCAGTCTCTGTACCAGAGGAGCTTACACTCTAATGTCCCCTCCCCCACAGTCACATCAGTCTCTGTACAGAGGAGCTTACACTCTAATGTCCCCTCCCCCACAGTCCCATCAGTCTCTGTACAGAGGAGCTGACACTCTAATGTCCCCTCCCCCGCAGTCCCATCAGTCTCTGTACCAGAGGAGCTTACACTCTAATGTCCCCTCCCCCGCAGTCCCATCAGTCTCTGTACCAGAGGAGCTTACACTCTAATGTCCCCTCCCCCACAGTCACGTCAGTCTCTGTACAGAGGAGCTTTACACTCTAATGTCCCCTCCCCCACAGTCCCATCAGTCTCTGTACAGAGGAGCTTACACTCTAATGTCCCCTCCCCCACAGTCCCATCAGTCTCTGTACAGAGGAGCTTACACTCTAAGGTCCCTGGGGGGGGGGGGGGGGGGATGGATGGCAGCGATCTCCATACACAGACATCAGGACGCAGGGCTCGCTCTCTATACTCACTGCCAGGAAATTTACCGCCCCCAACATTTACTGCCCCGGTCTCCTGGGAGATGAGACTGCTGGAATCCCAGTCTGAGCTGTGAGAAGGGGAAGGTGGGGGGTCTCCAGCAACGATCAGAGCCATGTACACAATGATGGGGGGGGGGGGGGCACTGCCGCAGGTTAGGTGGGAACTGTACTCAGCCATACTGCCAGAGCTGGCCAAGGAGTGACACCATTCAGACACACGGAGGGACAGAGAGTGACAGAGAGTGACACCAGACATAAATACACAGCAAGGAGTGACACCACTCAGACACATGACTTTCAAATGTTCGGAGAATATTCACACAAACTTTTCATCTAAATTGTCCCCCCAGATCACCCATATGAGCCCCCCAGTGGGATGAAGGGGAATTGTCCCCCCAGATCATCTATATGAGCCCCCCGGAGTGGGATGAAGGGGAATTGTCCCCCCAGATCATCTATATGAGCCCCCCCGGAGTGGGATGAAGGGGAATTGTCCCCCCAGATCACCCATATGAGCCCCCCAGAGTGGGATGAAGGGGAATTGTCCCCCCAGATCACCCATATGAGCCCCCCGGAGTGGGATGAAGGGGAATTGTCCCCCCAGATCACCCATATGAGCCCCCCGGAGTGGGATGAAGGGGAATTGTCCCCCCAGATCATCATATGAGCCCCCCGGAGTGGGATGAAGGGGAATTGTCCCCCCATATCCCATATGAGCCCCCGGAGTGGGATGAAGGGAATTGTCCCCCCAGATCACCCATATGAGCCCCCCGGAGTGGGATGAAGGGGAATTGTCCCCCCAGATCACCCATATGAGCCCCCCGGAGTGGGATGAAGGGGAATTGTCCCCCCAGATCACCCATATGAGCCCCCCGGAGTGGGATGAAGGGGAATTGTCCCCCCAGATCACCCATATGAGCCCCCCGGAGTGGGATGAAGGGGAATTGTCCCCCCAGATCACCCATATGAGCCCCCCAGAGTGGGATGAAGGGGAATTGTCCCCCCAGATCACCCATATGAGCCCCCCGGAGTGGGATGAAGGGGAATTGTCCCCCCAGATCACCCATATGAGCCCCCCGGAGTGGGATGAAGGGGAATTGTCCCCCCCAGATCACCCATATGAGCCCCCCCAGAGTGGGATGAAGGGGAATTGTCCCCCCAGATCACCCATATGAGCCCCCCGGAGTGGGATGAAGGGAATTGTCCCCCCAGATCACCCATATGAGCCCCCCCGGAGTGGGATGAAGGGGAATTGTCCCCCCATATCGTCCACATGAGCCCCCCCGGAGTGGGATGAAGGGAATTGTCCCCCCAGATCACCCATATGAGCCCCCCGGAGTGGGATGAAGGGGAATTGTCCCCATATGAGCCCCCCCGAGTGGGATGAAAGGGAATTGTCCCCCCAGATCACCCATATGAGCCCCCCGGAGTGGGATGAAGGGAATTGTCCCCCCAGATCACCCATATGAGCCCCCCGGAGTGGGATGAAAGGGGAATTGTCCCCCCAGATCACCCATATGAGCCCCCCGGAGTGGGATGAAGGGAATTGTCCCCCCCCCTATATGAGCCCCCCGGAGTGGGATGAAGGGGAATTGTCCCCCCCAGATCGTCCATATGAGCCCCCCGGAGTGGGATGAAGGGAAATTGTCCCCCCCAGATCACCCATATATGAGCCCCCCGGAGTGGGATGAAGGGGAATTGTCCCCCCCAGATCACCCATATGAGCCCCCCGGAGTGGGATGAAGGGGAATTGTCCCCCCAGATCACCCATATGAGCCCCCGGAGTGGGATGAAGGGAATTGTCCCCCCAGATCACCCATATGAGCCCCCCAGAGTGGGATGAAAGGGAATTGTCCCCCCAGATCACCCATATGAGCCCCCCGGAGAGGGATGAAGGGGAATTGTCCCCCCCAGATCACCCATGAGCCCCCCGGAGTGGGATGAAGGGGAATTGTCCCCCCAGATCATCACCCATATGAGCCCCCCGGAGTGGGATGAAGGGGAATTGTCCCCCCAGATCACCCATATGAGCCCCCCGGAGTGGGATGAAGGGGAATTGTCCCCCCAGATCACCCATATGAGCCCCCCGGAGTGGGATGAAGGGGAATTGTCCCCCCCAGATCACCCATATGAGCCCCCGGAGTGGGATGAAGGGAATTGAAATCGTCCACATGAGCCCCCCGAGAGTGGGATGAAAGGGGATTGTCCCCCCCCAGATCACCCATATGAGCCCCCCGGAGTGGGATGAAGGGGGAATTGTCCCCCCCCAGATCACCCATATGAGTCCCCCCGGAGTGGGATGAAGGGGAATTGTCCCCCCAGATCACCCATATGAGCCCCCCCGGAGTGGGATGAAGGGGGAATTGTCCCCCCAGATCACCCATATGAGCCCCCCGGAGTGGGATGAAGGGGAATTGTCCCCCCAGATCACCCATATGAGCCCCCCGGAGTGGGATGAAGGGGAATTGTCCCCCCCAGATCACCCATATGAGCCCCCCGGAGTGGGATGAAGGGGAATTGTCCCCCCAGATCACCCATATGAGCCCCCCCCGGAGAGTGG